ATCTTTGTAGAAGGGTAGTATAGAGGCTGGGCTATACTTCTTCCTGATATTCTGCCATCTTGACTCTACCTCAAGATATTTTTTTTTTCATATTAAGAGCTACAAAAGCCCAGTAAAATCATCTGGTACAAGCCCCTCATTTTATAAATGAAAAAAGTAAGGCCCAAAGAGGAAAAAATAGTTGCTAAGTTGCCAAATATTAATTTGCTGACTCAAGAATCAAACCCTGGTCTCTACCACAGAATCTAGGACTGTCGGTACTATATCATGGCTAGTTTAGCTAAATAGCAGACTATGGACTACCAGGAGGATCTTTAGGGTTAAGATTTGGGAAGTCACTATCATAAAGGACAACTGAGATCCTTGAAAGTTCTTCAATCTCTTCTGTCTCCCTCATTTCACAGATTTCATATAATTTAGATAACTGAGTAGTGCACTGGCATTTGTTTGTTGAATTAATATCCTGCAATGTGAGAGCTGAAGACATTAGGAATTATCTACCCTCAAACCTCCTCATTTTGCAAATAAATAAATGGAGTATAAGGAGTGTGAAGTGCTTCACTCAATATCACACAGTGATGCAGTGATGAAGTCAAGATTCAAATTCATGTCTTCTGTGTCTAAGGACAGTGTTCATTCCACTATATCTTAATATCGCTCATGACGATGAAAGCATTTCTACAGCATCTAAAGGTTTGTAAACACAGGGATCATATTTGTATAGGCTGAAGAAATTTGGTCATGCCCTAGGGGTCATATATAAATTATCAAGCTAGTTTTGAACCTGCATTATTGTAGAAATTGGATCTATCATGTCATCCCAGTAAAATCCATGAGGAGAAACTTTGGGGATAAGGGGAGAGGGAGAAGAGAGATATCAGCTTTCGTCTTGACTTTTGCCTCCTTTCCCTTTTCCTTTGGCTGGAGGAAGACCTTGTAAGCTTTGAAGATTTCAGTTAAGTTTAGAAGATTACAGTTTTTCCATCTTTCCATAGGCATCCTAGCATCATAGCTAGCAGCAATGAGCCAAGAATAGATTGAATGCAGATCCATAGCCTTACAAAATAAAGATGATATACCAGAACTTCTCGAGCACCTCTTGAAGAGAAGAAATGACTTCCAGCAACCAAGAACTACGAGTATCCCCTATGCCACACCTCTCTGGGGACCACTTTCCCTTGTACTCTATATGTTTTGGTAGGAAAGTCTCATAGACTGAAGAGAAATATTTATATCAGCTGTACTTACTATACCACCTTAGTAAATATCCCTTTCTAAAAACTAATTGAGCCTGACATACTAAATGACAGTCAGCTCATAATTATAGGAAAAACTCACTAGAATGGGAATTCAAGCCAATGGTGTTAGATAATACCCCCAGGGGTATCTTAGCACCCTGAGGGGCATATGTAATCGGCCAACCTCTGAGAACCCTCCCTGATAGCATTCATGTGAGTTGGAAGAGTAAGTCCAGAGTCTCACTACACATGAATTATAGCACTCAGAGCCATACAGAGAAATAAGCATTATCTTATTCTGAAAGTACTATAGACAATGCATGGACCTGCCAAGAACAGATTCAGACTAGTTTAGACTCAATGGCACCCAGTAATTCACAGACAGCTTGCTATTCCATGACCTTTATTCTCTTCCAAAAGATAGCAGTCATAGTAAATCTTCACAAATTGCAGTGTGGACAAAACCCTGTCAAGACAAAGACTACCTATATCACATTTCAGTTTCTCTCCAACTTGTTGTAATCTGTCCTCATGAGAAAAATTCAAATGTCACTGATCTTTTCTTGCTTCTATCTCTGGACAAATATTATTTTTATCAAATCTTTCCGCATCCCCCTCCCAATGAAGTTCTATTCCAATGCTTCCCTGTGTGTATGCTGGCTCTTTTTTTAAGTATCATTGATGCCATTTATTATTACCAGTAATTTCTAAGACACATACACACCACACCATAGAACCCTACCAAAAAAAAGAAAAAAAACCATACCAATACAGCAACCATGTCTGGCAGTATCTAACAACCAACAAGAATTGATTAAGCTCCTACTATATGTGCCAAGCACTGTGTTAGGTACAGGAAATAAGACAACAACAAAAAATTAGTCCTTAGCCTCAAGGTACTTACATGCTATAACTAACATTCTGCAGCTGTAGCACTCTACCTCTCTATTATACGCTCCATTGTTTGTGTGCTGGAACTGAGATGGGTCGATGCAATCGATCAGATTTTAGCTTCCTTTGGTGGGTTTTTTTTTTTCATTTACAAGAACATGAGCTTTGGCCCTGTGGCAGATGGGACAAATATGTCAGCCCCTTGTTAAAGTATTGTGCCATGAGATTGCCTCTATTACACATTGTTGTAGGCATTCTGTATGTTGTTCTGATACCGCTTATTTCATTATGAATCAGTTCATACAAATCTCCCCATGTTTCCCTTAATTCATCAGTGAACATGCCTTCCATTCCTGGAAAAGCCCTGAAAATCTTCCATGTGAGTAATTTTTACCTCCAGTGCAGTAGATCATCTGCTGCCTTCTGATGATGGCTTCAGCACATGAGGCATCCAAAATGTATTATCAAAGAGATGGCTGGTGAAGTTCAAAAAAAGGAAGTGATGATCACAACAAACCCAGCATGGGTTCATCAAGTACAAGCCATGCCAAACTAATTGAACTTCCTTGTTGGACAACTAAATTGATGATATGGATATAGCTTACCTTGGTTTTAGCAAAGCATTTGCCAAAGTTTCTCATACTATTTTGTGGACAAGATGGAGAAACCCGGCTAGATAAGAGTACTGATCATAGTGCACTGGGTTAGAACTGGGCTAAACTAAACAAGATAAAATTTAATAGGAATAAGTATATATTCTTATACTTGAGCTCAAGAAATTAACTTCACAGGTACAAGATGGGAGAGAGAGGAAGCAGTTTGTGTGATCTTGGGCAAGGGGCTTCATTCTCTAGACAGCAGTTCCCACAAATGAATTCTAAAGTGACTTCCCACTTGAAAAGTCTTGATTCTAGCAAGCACTGACCCCAAGTTTATTCTTAATTTATGTAATGAAATGTACTAGTAGAACGTTCATGTGTTTTCCTATTTTAATTCCTATAGCATCTTATTGGTTAAGTCCAATGCTACCATCTTCTCCCAGTTCTCTAAGGCAATGTTCTCCAAAATGGACTGCATATACCTCATGCGGCATTCAGAACAATTGATTGGGGTATAAGAAAAAAATCTAAAACTACATTTACTTCTACCTAAAATGATAAAAAAAAAATTAAGCTTTACTAATATTAAGAATAAAGATTGATAAGAGTGCTCACATTCAATTTATAAGACAACAATGTGTGACATATGGTATCAAGATATTCTGAGAGAAGATTAGGAACTCCACAGCACAGTGGAGGAGACAGGCAGCAGTTTGCCTGAAAAAAAAAATGATGTATGGTGATACTCTCACTCATTTGTTCAATTTTAATGTTTTGAGATATCCTGCAGCTTACCATCCCCTGATTTTCCACCAGGCTTCACATTTCCATTATTTATAGGAAACTTTTCATCCTACAATATGAATTCAGTCCTGGAACTCATATCTCTTTAGTACCCTCTGTCCCTGAGGCCCCTTCCACTTAGGGAGAGGGCCAAGCAAGTGCTCTCTTCATCTCCCACTGAGCTATTATCTTCCTGACATCTCCATTATGCCCCCACTTCAGATACCTTCCCTCTAACTACTTTTTCAACTTCCTTTTGCATATTGTCTTTCCCCAATAGATTGTAAGCTCCTTGAGAGAAGGGACTGACTTTCTTTTTCATATTTCTATTCCTAGCACTAGCACAGTGCCTGACACATAATATCTATATGCTTAATCAATATCTATTAACTATTACTATCTAATTTTAACTAAACTAACCCTCAGAAATTAGACAAATGGTTTAAAAATATTCCTACAGATAAACTGAGGTTTGAAGATAATACTACTAATGCAAGCATAAGTGAACAACAAGGAAATAACAAAGATGCCATTTCTCCTCCTGGTATGTATACCTGGTATCAGCTACATCATAAGATAAAAATAATGATCATCTAATTAGATCAAGAAATTGGCCAAAAAATTAAAAATGAGCTCGATTATTTGAAATACATAGTTACATCCACTATCATTAATGATGACTCTCACCTTAAGATATGAGATCTTAGATCTCTCATCTCTTAGATCTTAGATCTTGAGATATTAGTTAATGGTAACCTGAAGACAATGGGCTTAACAAGAGATTTAAAAACTAAGCTCTTGTTGCCAAAAAGAAGGTATGTCACCTATAAAAACTCATATCTGCACACTTAAAAAGTTGAAAACAGAATTTTCTAATCCAGTTAAAAATCTTTCCCCAAAAAAAAAGAGTACAAATGTGTTTTGAATTCATTTGTTTAAAATGTAAAAATGCAACACCTTTCAAAAACAACTGACTGGAATTAGGGAAAGTGGAAATTTATTAGCCACATTTTAATAAAAAACCTTTGTATAATTGGTAGAATGATATTAAAAAATAAATATTGTTTTGAGACCTCCTGTACACCAGCACCCTTGCTGTTATCTAGCATCCCTAAAGAGTTCAGAAAGCTTATACTGCTAGCTTCCACTTACCTCACCTAGTCTCAACAATGACAGGAGCATCCAGGGAAATATCAGCCCCAAAGAGTTCTAATCTTCTGATATTTATTCTTTCTGAATAATGAACCTAGTGGATAGATTTTAATATCTCCATTGATTTTCTCAAAAATGTCCTATAAGTTATACCAGGCTACAAAACTTTGCTTGCCAAACTCCAACAGAATCCCAAAATTTAACTCCAAAAGAAATCTAAAGATTTCACTCATGGGATTTTTTCTATTTTTTTTTAAAGTATATCTTAAGAGGCAGCAAATTAATAACATAATAGAGATAAGAACCTAGGTTAAGAGTCACAAATTTGAGTACTCACTCTGAAACTGATTTCTGTATCATCTCAGGCAAATATCTTCCCTTTTCAGTTTCTTCATCTGTAAAATAAAAGGTTTAGACTAAGTTCCTAAAGAAGCCTTCTAGTGCTGACATTCGTGACTCTCCTTTCTGGGAAAAAAAATATTTGTAGTTTCCATGCAAAAGAGATTTGGTCCTCTGTCTCTTGTTTTCCAGAGATTTGATTCAATTTATAAAGCTATCCTGTGCTTATACCCAATTAACCATGGACATTCTGGAAGTCTAGGTAACATTTGGTCAGGTCAGATTTTTATTGCTTTTGACCAAAGACCATTGCAAAATGGATAAAATAAAGAGTGGGTACAAGCTGACCTTTAAGGTAGGTTAGAAGGGTCAAAATAGAACAAGGTTTGAGCAAGTTTTTAAGTGGAAAAATGAGTAACATTTCAGTGTTCATTTCAGGTAATATTTGGAAGAGCAAGAGAAATAAAAGATAGGTAGAAGATAAGGTTTAGAGGGAAGAGAAAACCTGGGAGAAATCATAGGCCCAATCAAAAAATTGAAAACGAAAGGTCCAAATAGGAATCCAAAAACATTCCCAGAAGTTTTGTATCAGTGTCTTTTTACAGACTCTTGAGGTTTCAGGTCCATGTATTGAAACTAAAGAGAGAAACATCTGAGTCAAAAAAAAATTTTTTTTTTCATGTAGAGTTCATGCTTTACAGACAGCAAAAAAGTGGGAGACCTTTCTTTTTTCTTCCTCTCATTTATGTTATTCTTCCTTGAATTCTCTTCAGTTTCTCTACATTCCTTCTAAAATACAGTGAACAAAACTAAATATAATTAGGATTTGATATGCTCAGCTGAGGAACCTGGTCCCACAATGGCTAGAGCACTGGACCTGGAGTCAGGGAGAAGAGTTCAAATCTGACTTTAGATATTTACTAGCTCTGTGACCCTGGGCAAGTAATTTAACCATTTGTTTGCCTCAGTTTCCTCAACTGCAAAATGGGGATAATAATAGCACATACCCCCCGGAATTGTTGTGAAGATCAAATGAGGCCATATTTGTAAATGTGCTTAGCACAGTCTCTGCAATATAGCAGGTGCTATACAAATGCTTATTCCCCTATTCTCTTCCTTATTCCTCTCAATTAGGCAAAAGGTTTTCTGAATAGCTTTTTCCCTTAATAATAACAACTACTAGTATTTATACAATGCATTATAATTATTAAATATCTTACAATCATGATTTCATTTGATCCTTACTATAACCCTAAGAGGTAGGTCATGATATAGATGCTTCCCATCCCCCTAACAAAACTGGAACTTGGAGTCTAGATGGGGAAGCAGGACTCAAACATCAAAAGACAACCAGGAAGGTTATCCTTCCAAATGAGTGTCACAGAACATAACTGCTAAGTTCAAAGGAGGGAACATTGTAGTGTTTGGTGGATATGAAGGAAAGGCTTCATATAGAGGGTGGGGCTTAAACTGAACTTTGGATCAATAGGCCTTTGGTAATAAAAGAAAAAGAAAGATGACCCTGTACGCAGCAAGAATGGTGTGACAAAGACATGAAAAGAGAAATTCACAGTTTGTTGGAAGTCAACAAGTTGAGGAGTCTGTCTGATGGACAAGAAGATTGTATACACTACAAAGCTCAGCTTTCTTGCCATCCTTTGCTACTTTTGCCTTTCCTCTGCCTGGTTCTCTTTACCAGAAGTATTTAAAGACTAGTGGGCATCGGGTTTTTTAATAAGAAAAAGAATAGTTTTGAACTTTTTAGTAATTAACAATTACCTATGGTCTTTTGCAATTATATTAGAGGTTACATCAATGATGGGAATTCATGGAGTCTGAATTAATGAGAGCAAAGAATGACCAAGTTGCTTCTAATTTCCTCTTGATTAAGAGAGAAAGTCAAGTGGAGTTCTAGATTTTTTGTACTAATTGAATGTCATTTAAAGAATTAATTAAAATTATGAATTACTTGCTGTGATGAGAAATGAATGATTAGCTCATTATAAATCTAGAAAAGTTGTAATAAACAAGCAAGATATATAATGAGTCTGTGTTTTCATATATTTAATTAGATCTGCAACCTCTCTCATGCATACATACTCCCATGGGAACAAATAAAGTGATTGTTAGCTTTTTATAAAAACTATTTCTCTACAATGTACTCACTTATATATAATATAATGGAAAGAGCACTGCATTTGAAGCCACAAGACTTGGATTCAAATTCTTTCTAACACTTACTGTGCAATCTTGGGCAAGGGTCTTATCCTTGCTGACACTCAGTTCCTTCAACTATAAAATGAGGATAATAATAGTAATATTTTCCAGGATTATTCTAAGGAACAAATGAATTAACATATAGAAAGTACTTTGTTTTAAGTGTACATAGTAAGTGAACCATTTTTAGGTAAAAAGAAAGTTATCAAGATTAAGGGTTGGTTTGGGAAATGCCTATCTACCATGTGATCAAACCATTACATTAACCTTTCAAAATATAGTAAAACTTCTTTGTGATGATTCTAAAGTGTATACTAGAGAGACACAAAAGGAGCTATTAATTTAGGTGAATTGAAGCACATCTTCAAAATATCTCATTTCAGAAAGATGAACAAAAATGTGGCCAAATTTATATTACTGAAATTGAGGATCACATGTTCAGATACAGCAACAATAACAATGAATTATACTTATATACCATTTCATAGTTTCATAAGTGTTTTACTTAAGTTAGCTCAATTAATATCACCTGAACATGTCAGCTAGTATTAGCATTTTTATAGGTGGAAATATTCTATAAGCAATTGAAGAAGTAGCTCAGTTTTAGAAAGGAGATGAGAGCCGGCTACACAGATTTGGGACTCGTCCACATAGAGATGCTAGTTGAAGCCATGGCAGCACCATTAGGGTGGGAAGAACCCTGTATATGGAGTCAAAAGACATAGTTATAAATCCCAGACCTGCTATTTACTACCTATGTGTTATTGGACAAGTCATTTAACTTCTCTATGCCTCAGTTTTCTTACCTACTAAATAACAGGGTTGGACCCATCACACCTTTCTGACTCTAACACTTATGAATGATAAGATGTCCAAGGAAGAAAGTGTAGAGAAAGAGAGAAGAAAAGAAGGTCAAGGACAGAATCTTGGGGAATATTTCCTTGAAGCAGTCAGAAAACGGATGAGAAGCTGGAAAAGGAAACAAAAATGAAATGAGTTGCCTCCAGAAGTAATGAGTTCCTCATCATAGGAAGATCTTTGAGGGAGACTGACCCTTTACCAGGTTTGGCATAAAAGGGGTTCTAGTTAAGGTATGGCCTTACTAATTGCCTCTAAAGTCCTTGCACCTCTTTCCTTGTGGTCAGACCAACACTTATGTGGTAATTTTCTTTTTAGATGCAAATGTTTCACTTCATTAGCAGTTAATATTCCAAAATTTTCCTATTTGATTTCCCCTTTTAATCAAGAACAAATTAGGGGCAATTTGGTCATCCTTTGCCCTAGTTTTTATGGAAGAAATCTATGACTCTGCAATAGCTAAACCCATGGAGCTTATCATAGTTTAATTAATTGGCTCCATCAAGTAAAGATCATGCTTTACTCCAATAAATATAAAGCTCACAGATGGTAATATTCTGGTCACATTATCCTCATATCTTCCTTGTCAAGAAAACTGGGGAGTTTTAGAATCTTTAATTCCATGAAAATTGCTCGTTTTTTCTCTCTCTTGAAAGGGCACTGACAAATTGGAGCATGACCAGAGGAGAGATACCAGGATAATGAGTTGATGTGAAACCATTTCTTGGGAAGAACAGCTGGAGGAATTGGAGATGTTCAGCCTAGAAAAGAGAAGACTTAGGGAGAATGTGAGAGCTCTCTCCAGTTATGTGGAAGGATGTCATGGGAAGGAAGATTAGGCTTAGTTTCTATGACCTTAGAGGGTAGAACTTAGACCAATGGGTGAAAGTTACAGGAAGACAGCCTTTCACGCAATATTAGCAAGAACTTTTTAACACTTAGAGTTTCCCAAAAAAGGAACATGCTGCTTTAAAACCATCCTTGTAAAGTACTGGATTCATACATTTAAAGCTGAAAAGTACCTTGGAGGTCAATTAGTCCAACTCCATTTTATAGAGAAGGAAACTATGTTCTAGAGAGGTAATTGGAGCATTGATTTAGAGCTAGAGGGGACCTTAGGGAACATCAGGTCCAAATTCTTTATTTTACAGATGAGAAAACTGAGGCATAGATAGGATAAGTGATTAGCCCAGGATCACACGGCTAGGAAATGTCAAGAGTAGGATTTGAACCCAGGTCCTCCTGACTCCAAGACCAATACCCTATCCACTATACTATGTTATCTCAAGGTTAAATAACTTGCCCAAGGTCACAAAGATAATAAGTGAGTGAGCCCAAATTCTAATTCAAGTTCTCTACATACAAATCAGACATACCTCCCACTGTACCATGATGCCTTCTAAGACTTTCAAAGTATTGAAAACTGGACGATGATTTATCAAAGAGATTGTACAGAAAATCCATACTTTTCATAAGAGATGGAGTAGATGTTTCTGGGATGTTATAAAACTATATTGCATTGAGTAGGGCCTATGTGACCTCTAGGCACTAAGATGTTATGAACTATGTGAACTCGACTATAGCATATTATCTCCCTAATGAGCTGATGGGCAACTAGGTGGTACAGTGATAGAGTGTCAAGCCTAAAGTCAGTAAAACTCATCTGAATTCAAATCTGACCTCAGACATTAGCTGTATGACCCTGGGCAAGTCACTTAAGCCTATTTGCCTCAGTTCCTCATCTGCAAAATGAACTGGAGAAGGAAATGGTAAACCATTCCAGTACCTCTGCAAAGAAAACCCCAAATGGGATCATGAAAAGTTAAACAGGACTGAAACAACTGGACAACAGCAATGAGTTGATATTAGGAATATAAAGGGAAGGAAACAGAGCCTTCTAAATGAGATATGTAATCTCTCAAAAGGGTTGGACTTATTCTCTACACAGAAAAAACCAAGAGGATGCAGAATGACTGTTTTC